TGTGTGGGGATAAAGACTCCCTGAGAGAAAGCAGCACTGTATTAAAGTTGAAAACAACAGCTGCCACCTTGTGTAAATGTATCCATTAAATTAATAACTATGCAGGGCAAGGGGGAAAAAAACCTCTCAGCACGGCCTACGACCTGACTCCTTCTAGCAACGTGCCAATGGAAAAGTGCAAAGCTGAGTCAGATTTTAAATGGACCTGTGCAATCAACAAAGAGGACAGCGAGTGGCCGAGTGACAACACACACTACTCCTTCCTGCTTATTCTGCTTGGCACGAATGCCTAATCAAGGTCTCCAGAAAGAACAGCCAGTCTTCAGGGATCCTTGAAAAGGAAAGGTCGCCATGTATCATTGATGGCTTTAATAAAGGGATGGGACTGGAATATGCTGAGGTGTATTTGCTGCTCCTTCTCTGCCTTTGTTGATATAGAGTAAAACATGAGCCTGCAGTGACCTAACCACCATCACACAAAACCTGAAAGGGAAACACTCTCAGGAAATGCATGTTTAATAGTTACTGGTCTCTTGTACTAGTAAGACCATAGATTCTTGAGGTAAAAAAAAGGTAATAATCTGATTTTACTTCCTACCACTGATGTTAATTTACATTTGTACAATCACTCACCTTAGCCAAATTAGCCCAATCACCTTCACATTCCATTAATAGTCCTTGTTCCTCCAAGCACTACCAGGAGTAACTAGGAATAACAGCCGTAAGTTGACTGAGAGTAGGTTCAGGCTAGACATCAGGAAGCACTACTTCACTGTCAGGGTGGCTAGGATCTGGGACCAACTTCCAAGGGAAGTGGTGCTTACCCCTACCCTGGGGGTCTTCACAAGGAGGCTAGATAATCACCTTGCTGGGGTCATTTGACCCCAGCATATTTTCCTGCCCATGACAGGGGGTCAGACTTGATGATCTGCTCAGGTCCCTTCCGACCCTAGCAAATATGAAACTATGAATAGTCCATTTTACTTTTTAATTTTCCATGCATTGGCTCAACATTGTTGGGTTGCGAATCTCACAGCAGGGGGATGTTTATAATATTCTCCCATCCCCGTATGCCCCTCCTTGGCCCCCACTGAGTCATTTTTACTCTGGTACATTGTAACATATAGGATTGCCTAGCACAGAGGAGCTTTACAAAGACAGGAAATCATGATAGACTGAGTCTCTTCCTAGCTCTATATCTTAGTGATCGCAGAATTCATGTTGGTAAATAGGCCCCTAAATAAGATATTAGAGACCAATTCGCTTTTAGTTCTGCTGAGCAAGTACACCAAGTGAACTGTAAATGCTTTAAACTCCCAAAAGAGTTTAGGCCCATTGCAGCAATCCTTTTAACTCCATCAGTTGTCTGTGTTTTTCCACTATGAAGACAAAGTAGTCTGTGCTCTTCTAGTTTACTTTCTTCTAACAGCAATATCATTATAGAAGTACAGTTAAATGTGATGTCATGGAACTGTTTAGGCTCTCAGAAAATTAGCTTTGATACACACACACAAAAAAGGCTTTGCAGCATATGGTATGGATGAAGGTTTGCATAATTATTTAAAGCATAAATATTCCCATGAAATATCCATTCTGAAAAGGCTGTACCAGTGCAATAAAACCAGAAGGTAAAAACAGGCGAAAAGAAGAAGTAAAATGAAACAGTCAAGTTTCACTGTTCGGTCCAAGATATTAAAGAAATATATCAACAGCATCAATGTTGGAGAGGAAATGAGATTTTAAAAGTAAATTCCTGCTTTGCAAGCATGCAATTATAAATGCATAACAAGTTACAGTTATGTTAATAAATAACATTTATCTTGACATTTCCATTTCCTTCTTACCTTCCCTGACATTTCTGAAGTGGAGTGTAGAAAGTTTCTTTCGGTCAGCTGAAGCTACTCTGCAAATTTTTACTTCTGTTGCAGTGTGGACTTCCTAACTGAAGAAATACCCCTCTCTGAAGCTATGTTCTGTAAGGATACCATGTATACAAGACTGCTAACTTCTTGCCACAGTTTCATATAAAGGATTATTAACTAGCAACAGTGATGATGGACTGCTTCCAATGTTTCAAGAACAATAATGCTGTCTTCTCTTGTGAGCCTCTGAGGTTCAGAGAGGTTTGGTTCAAAGAAGCACCCATTATGCACAGGATCAGATCCAGAGGGGGGTGCAGTGGTGCAATTGCACTCCCTCTTTCAGACTGGACCATGCAAGGAGCCTTTGGGGACTTTTTTTAAGTTCTCAATGCATGTAAGAATCCCTACCCCCGCTTTTCCCCTTGGCTCAAAAGCACACCCCTTCTCTCCCCTTGTTCCCTGCCACTGCTGCTTAACTGTCCTGGGAGCAGGAAAGTTTCAAAACTGATCCTGCCCACTCCAGCAGGGCTGTGCAGGGGTTGGGCTCAGATGGGAACAGTGGCAGCAGTGGCACTGGGTGGTGTGTTGGATTCCCTCACCCTTCCTAGTCACCTGAGAGCAGGTATGGGAAAGGAGAACTCCTTTGCCCATTGCTGCTGCAACTGTCACTGTTCCTGGCTGAGCACAGAAGGGGAGGTGGAAGGGGGGAGGATTCTTACATGCTTTGATAACTTTAAAAAGTCCCCATAGGCTCCTGTGTCATGGTCTATCTGCACCAGTGGGCATGGGGGGGTGAAGGCTGACAGCAGGAGTGCAGCCATCCCTGCAGCACAGGTAGCTACTAGGGCTGTGCAAAGCTTCAGGTGCTGATTCGATTTGGAGGAGATGCAGCCCGATTTGGTGGCCGAATCTCCAAATCCAAATCAAATCAGGGGACCAGTTAAAAGGTCTGAATTGATTTGAAGCTCTCCAAATTGATTTGGAAAAGATTCAGAGGAGCTTCAGTGATTTGGGCAGTCCCTGCCTGCTGCAACAGGGAGCTGGACCCGAACTCTAAGCTGATAAGTAGAGGGTGGGGGAGGGGAGGCTGGAAGAGTGGGGGAGGGACCTTGGGGGGGTCCCGGAGGGCCCTGGGGGGGGCCCCCTGCCAGGCCCCACCCCCTGCCCACTCCCCCAGCACCACCATGGCTGCCCTGCCTGCCCCAGCTCCTGGGCCTTTAAAAAAAATCCCCCACTCACTGGGTGATGCTGGGTAGGGGGGCAATCCCCGCTGCCCCCCACTGCCCCACACTGCATGGGGGGCTCTGCCATGAGCCCCCCCACCTGCCCCCCAGATCCCCTACAGCTGCCCTGCCTGCCCCCTCTCTGGCCCTTTAAGAAAAATAACAAGCCCTGCACTCACCAGATACTGCAGCCACCTTGGGGCTTCTGGGGACTCATGCAGAGCTCCCCCATGTGGTGAGCAGCGCGGGGCAGTGGGGATCACCCCCCCACCAGGTAGCAGCTGGTGAGTGGGAGCTTTTTTTTTCCAAACAGCCAGGAGCTGGGGTGGGCAGCACAGCCATTGAGAGCAGGCAGAGGATGGGCCTGTGTGATTCAGCTGATCTGGCAGCAGCCAAATCAATTCAGGACAGTGATTTGGATCACCAGATTGAATCACTGTCCCCCAAATTGGCTGAATCCGAAGCAAATAGTAGTCACTTCACACAGGCCTAGTAGCTACTTGTGCACTCCTTCTCCCTCCCCCCCACCGGCCAAATCTTGAATCTGTTCTTGCTTATGCACACCCCTGTATTGCTAGAGCAGGCTATAATTGCCATGAGGATAGGCTGCCCTATGGAGATCCATGTACTCCAAGATGTAAATCTGTAACAGTGGCCTTTTAAGAGGTATTTTAACACTTCTATTTGCAGTCCCAGCAAGAACTCAAAAGTGAAAAACCAGCATTAAAGGGTAGGGGGAAAGGTTGATGTATAGAAAACCTCAAAAATATTTCAGTTTAGTTTTAAAGGAATAGTTAGTTTATCCACACATCAGTTTTCTCTGCCCATAACTATGACCAGTTTTGGATGGAACAGACTGGAGTCTTCCAGTTTGAGCTAACAGACCCACACATGGTGGTGCAAATGCACAGGAGAGCTGAACTAAGTTTTCATGAACACTAAGTCTGGCATTTTCTAATTTTTTTGAGTTCTGGACTTTGCAATCTTCATATTTTTTTTAAACATAGCTCTTTGGATGGAAAACACCCTATTGCTATCCTATAAACATATCACCAGCTTGGTGCTGGGTTTCTTGAATGACAATTAACACAATCTTTCTGTGGTGCATTTAATTTAGTAAATAAAATCTGGCCTTTACCTGGTTCAACTTGCTTCCAAGAATAAAACCAATCTAGGGCTTCTCTGTTTATGCTTTGGAACCTGGCACTGATCCAGCATGTTCCCTGGCCAGATAATGGCAATCAAAATAATGCTAATGCTGGCAACACTTACTGCAGTGATAAACATGTTGTTTAAACTCATCCAAGCCTTAAGTTCTCCAGTTCAATACCAACCGTTACCAACACTGTTAATGAGGGTAATTTTTTTCTCTTATCACTAACTAGAGATCAAGATTCTTGATATAAAGTGCTGATGGTTTCTATATACCCAATTTGTTCTAATGAATATGGAGGAGTTAATATGCTATCATTTTTAATAGCAATTCCTTCCAATTGCCTCAAAGGATTTTGTTCTCACCCTCCATCTCGGGTTTCTATTCCCCCAAGACTGAATCACTTTTAGAACTGATGAATATTTTCCTAACGTTTAGCTTAAATGTTTCTATCTTTAGCTTCAAGTCATTACTTTTTGTCTTACCGTCTAAAATGGATTAATTTCCTTCCTCCAAGACAGAACAGTTCCCTTATTTTGTTTATATCCATACCTTGAAGGCATTTAAAATCCCTGGTTATGTCCCCTTGGAACAATATTCTAAATTATATAAATTTAGCTGCCTCAGTCTCTCCAGTGCCAAAATATTTATGCCAATGCCGTGCAAGGCAGAACCCATCCAACAAATCATTGATTTGTTGATCAATAGTAACCCATTGCAAGTCACCATTAAGTACAATGGACTTAATTTCCTTCCTAGAGTTCTGTCTCCTCTAACTGACATTTTCAGGTCTTTGGGCTTTGAAGAAAGTTTGTGCAAGTTCTGCTGGTCAACAATAAACTCTCCGTAAGGCTGGAATGAGGGTTACCCGTGTCCAAGAAGACTGAACTATTAGGAGGTTGCTCAGAGCAAAAAGACGAATGGGGTGCTACCTTCTGTAAGTTAGGCATTATTGACTGCAGTATGTATCTGGGTCTGCTGTTAAAGTCTTTACATAAAACTCTCTAGAGTTCAGTCTGTCACTTGTTCCTACAGATAGCCAGGATGTAAAGGAATCAGTCGAGCAGAAGAAGGATTTCTTTGTATTTGCACCACGGATCATGTAGGGGAGATACATATCTTAAACCTATTTATTTAAATGTAGCAGAGAAGGAGCTCTGAGAGACCGAGGTATCCAAAGAAGTGTTGGAACAAATGGATAAAATTCAGTGTGACCAACCCTCAGGGATATCCAAGAATTCTGAAGAGACTTAAAAATGAAGTATGGGCTGCTAACAAAAATAAGACATCTTTCTACTAAAAACTAGCTGGCATCTTAGAGGACAAGATGTGTTATTAAAAATAAAAGAGGCGTGAAGTGTGATCTTCAGAATTACAACCAAATGAGTCTCATTTTAGTACCAGGTAAACTGACTGGATAATTATTAAAGAAAGAGCTAAAGATCTCTCAGCTGAACAGGTCAATGAAGACAAACCAGCCTGGACTTTGCAAAGAACAAAAAAATCAGACTTCGCCAATCTACTACAGTTCTTTTGAATATGGCAACAAAACAGTATGTAAAGAAGAGCAGACTGGAATAATTTCTATTTTTTTGAAAATTTAAATATGCTTGAAGTTTTTCGTAAGAAGCTAATAAAGGCAGTCAATAGCCAGGCAGCCAGCACCCTGTACTGTCATGGGTTAGAAATTCAGTAAGAGTCAGAAAACAAAAGGCAGGATAAAAAACGTATTAGATATTTATAGAAAAAATGGGGCGGGTCCTCCTAGCACTAGTGACTTCAATAATGTGTTAACAATTTACACTATATGAGGATCTGCCCCAGTGACAATATTTGTGGTTCATGGATAGAAAAAAAATAAAAGAGAACCCAAATAGGCCAACCACCAGCTGTTAGGAGCTGGACTCTTTGGGCAGGTTCCAAAATACCTGTTTATTAAACTACACTTACTTTTGGAGCTGGGAATATAGGACTAGATGACAACTATTTCCAGAAATTTAGGAACTCTGGTTTACGTCAGCAATCAGGTTGCCATCTTCCTCTTCCAGTTCCTGCAGCCACATGGTCCAGTGTATTCAGATGTATACTCAACAGCACAAGCACAGCCTTTTTTGTAGGAAGAAAAAGGGTAAAATAAATAATTTCATCCCTTTTAAAATAGTTGATTTTAGCACAGAAATGTAAAACAGAATTCTGAGGTCAAAGGAAAAGACTCCTACACTCAGCTTCAAGAAGACCAGGCTTTGGCCTTAAAATGCTATTAAATCATGCAGGTTTTTTATTATAAATTTGGTTTTTAATAACTTAAATATGTGCCTCAGGCTACGTCTTTTCAGGCAAGTAAGGAAGCAAGTCATCCTTTGATATTCATTTCAAATCTTGCTGCTGAAGTGTTCAATTTATAACAGAATACTAATAAAACCCAATTTGGGGTTCATTTGAGAAAGGTTATTTAACACTTGACAAACACTGATTATTAGGGTTTTTAAATACCAGTTCCCACAAAATACAACACTAATAAGAAAATAAAAGTAACACAAGCTTTCTACATATGCAAACCAATATGGGAGCTTTTGCTCCACCCTATTGCTGTCTCCTCCATAAGTCCATGAACTGGGAAGACATTGTTCATATTGTCCACATCTGTTTGGTATGTTAGAAAGAGAGACACTTAGAAGACCTGTTGTATCTTATATTGGGTTTAAATGTGATGCACGCACATGGGCAGACAAGGTTCTTTAGGTGAATCTGATATCTTTTATTAGACCAACTTAAATAGTTGGAAAACAATTATTAAGCAAGCTTTTGGGTTCAAAAACCCTTTGTCAGGCTAAGGAAGTTTCTGCAGTTGGTGTGTGCTCTTCCTGGATGGAATGAAAAGTAAAGAAGCCAGAGGCTGGGCTGGTATGCATACAAGACAGGTAGTCCGTGAAAATGTAGATTGAGGAGTCAATGGGTGAGAGCCTCCCTCCCAGCCTGTCTCTCACCCATTGACTCCTCAATCTACATTTTCACGGACTACCTGTCTTGTATGCATACCAGCCCAGCCTCTGGCTTCTTTACTTTTCATTCCATCCAGGAAGAGCACACACCAACTGCAGAAACTTCCTTAGCCTGACAAAGGGTTTTTGAACCCAAAAGCTTGCTTAATAATTGTTTTCCAACTATTTAAGTTGGTCTAATAAAAGATATCAGATTCACCCAAAGAACCTTGTCTGCCTATGTCCTTAGACCAACACAGCTACAACCTACACCCCTGTATGCACACACATGTACACATACACGTGCAACCTACTTACAGTGAAAAATAACTGTTTTATGTTCTTTGATATGGTGCCCAAAATTCAACCGCGAGGTAGAGATACTTTGCTTGTCAAAACAAAAATAAGACTCAGAATAATAAGAAACAAGCACATGATATTTACTGTGCTTTTTGTCATAAAGGCTGAGAAGCTATTGATTTCCCTAACTGCATCTCATCTGATCCAAAATGTCCCCACTAAGCACTGCAGTTTTTTCAAAGGTAGAAATTGAATGGCACAAAGGATAGCTGTTAAGTTCCTCCCCTGCCACTACCTGACCTCTCAGATATGTCAGGTGTTTTGGCAGGCAAAGCAAGAAAAACTTAGGTGCAACAGTTGGTGGCTGTTGGCCTTGTTAATAACTTCCTGGTTCTAATATACAGTAAGACAAGGTTCTTTGGGTAAATATATCTTGTATTAGACCAACTAAATAATTGGAAAAAAATGTTCTTTGCAAGCTTGCAGGCACAAACACCCTTCTTCAGGCATAGGGAGAGTCTGCTGGCATTATGTGTTCTCTATAGTGGAATGGAAGCCAGTATACAGAATGCAGGTCTGTGAAAATGCAAATGTGTGGCAGTGAGGATCAGAGGGATGAGAGACAAGAGGTCCTATTGTCTCCCATTCCCTTTGATCCTCACTGCCATACATTTGCATTTTGCATATTGGCTTCTATTCCACCATGAAGAATGCATAACATCATCAGACTCTCCCTGTGCCTGAAGAAGGGTGTTTGTGTCCAAAACCTTTCGAAGAACAATTTTTCCAACTATTTAGTTAGTATAATAAAAGATATCACATTTACCCAAAGAACTTTGTCTGCCTATGTCCTTAGGCCAACATGGCTACAACCAACAACCCTATTATAAAAAGGCTTTATTCGCTGAAAAACAGCCACCCTGAATTTGAGTTTCTCTGATATGTGGACCACACAGAAAACACCTTTATAAAACCACTCTTCAATACTGCCAGAGAAATAGAGGGTCTTTGCTACATCTGATCCAAGGATAGTTATAGTTTGTTCAGGGGTTTCATCCGAATTCTCTACAGCATTTTAAAAGGTATGCAGACACTTCCCACATGCTTCATGCCCTTCCAAAATCTACCAGAGAAGGCAAAAGAAGTCATCCAAGTACAGGTCCAGGAGTCACTGTCTCTCAAATTCTAATCCAAACTCAGATATTGAGTCCTTGGGGAAAACAGGGCAATGGCTGCAGCTGCTGGTGAGGTACACACAGACATGTGTTGCTCATGTATTCCCTCCTCCAGTGGACCCAACCTTTTAATAGGCATGCCTCAAATTAGCCCTGCATCCTCCCTGAATGCTACTCTAATCCCTTTTCCCTGCCCAAGCTGTGCTCTGCTTTGTGTTCCCTGCCCTATGCTCCCTGTCTGATCTGCTGCTTAGCTTTCGGCTCCCTGCCCTATCTGCCACTGTGTTGCCTATCCACATACAGAGGCTGCCCATGCCACTGTGGCACCCATGCCACAGGTTGGCCACCCCTGGATTCAGCACATAGCTCTAAAATTGACAGCACTGTTTAGACAGCATGCCCCCAGCTTCAAATCAAGTGATTGAACTTTGACTGCCCTTACCTTGGATCTAACCAAGAATTCCTCAACATTTCTTGCGTCCTGCCTTCTACTCTTCAGCTCAGAGAGCAATAGCACCAAGTCCATCTATCCCTTGCTCAGCTCTCAAAGAAGGCACATACAATCACCCTGTGAGTCTTGGGTACAGACTTTGAACAAAGGAGGCCTTGTCTAAGGCTGCACTGTGGCCAGCATGTGCCTCTAATTATGACCCCAGGTGCCAAGGATGGACTGAAATCCAACTCCAGGCAACTAAAACAAGGACAAACACAATGAAAGGTCAAAACAATTAGCAAAACACCATCTCCAGGGTATGGTTCTCTACATGTGCCACAGCCTCTCTACATGTGTCACACTTCAGCCTCTGTAGACAGCATTACAGGGAAGTGAATGAAAGGAGATTTTAGTTTTAAAGCAAGACCTTTTTTCCTCCAGTTTTTGTTTTTGTCTGCAATGAATTTAAGTGACTGTAATATCTTCTGGCCATTGCTAGCCCACAATAACAAGCCCGCTGACAGGAAGAAGATCAGCCTTCTCAGGAGTGTTTTACTGTTTCTCTGAATTAAAATAATTATAGACTTATATAGACAAGACTTATAATTCTCTGAATTAAAATAATTATAGCTTATATAGACAAGCTGTATAAGTCCACAGCACAAACATGTTTGTTTAAATAAAAGTTTAGTGTCTTGGGAGTGTGGCATAAACCAGAGGTTTATTAGCAAGTCTATTTCATGCCCAACAGTCTAACTAGTTCCTGCTGTGTTGTTTCCCTAATAGGCCTGTAGATTAAATGCAAAGTTTTCCTCTTAAATGAGGCTTCAAACTAACTCTGGACGAGATCACGTATTTTGATTAAAAAAAGAAGGCTTTTAAGCCCTTTGCTCCTTTCTGCCTCCCCCCTTGAGAATACAGAGCCAGAAGCAAAAGATGCAGAAGAGCAGACTCAGTCACAGGAGGCTCGATTAGAATTTTCCCATTTTGTTTTGGAAACTGAAATTAGCCAAGCTGCAGTTGGTGTTCGGGGTATATGAAAGGCCAGAAGCAGTAAAATCCTCGTCATTGGCTGCTGCAATGGCCCGGGATTTCGTGGGCCAAGAAACATCCCAGTAGACATCACCCTGGTGAGTGTGGGTCTGGGCTGGGTCCCTGCTACACTGCCCAAGATACTGAGTAAATAGGCTGCTAGGGAGGCTGAGTAAACAGATCACTAGTAGTGCCTAAGTTAGTTTAGTGATGACTGTACAAGCTGCAGTAGCTACCATGGCTACAGTGTAGACATACCTATATGTTGCTACATGGAGAAGGATGCTTGGATTGGATGCTTGGATTGTCTTATTCTGTTTGCTGGGAAGGCTAAGAGGAGGATGTAGAAAAAACAGAACACCATGTTCATTTTGCATACTCCATAGCCAAATGGAGAGGCTTTGTTTCTGGATGACACTTGGTTGGGAGAGGTTAAAAATGGAGAATTCAGGAGGTTCCTCACCACCAGTCCCCTACTCCCTCTTTAGGGAGAATTGCATTACCTATGCAAGACATGTAGCATATCTGTGGCCCAGAATATGTAGTTCACACCAGGTTGGCTTAGAAAACTCGCCTTAGAGTTCCATCTGTCCACTCAATCCTACGCTTCTAGTTTCTGTAGGACGCAGTAAGTGTTTCTGGATTCAGACAGCTCATTAAACTAGGTCAAGAACTGTCTGTGGCTCAAACTATTTTGCTTACAGGATTTTATGAGATTTTTGGATGTTTACAGGTTTCAGAGTTTTTTTGAAATTGCCAAGGAGGCCTCTGAAGACCACTGTATCAGCCCCCTCCCTCCCCCTTCTCAATCCTGAGAAATCAGAGAGCAGCAGCTAAGCAGCTGCTCTATGCAAAAAATGGCTTAACACATTAGCGCTAAATAGGATTTTGTATAAGGTCCAAATAGAAAAAGGGAACAGGACATGAAAGAAAGAGAAATGAGAGGGGCAGAGCAGTAGGTAGATGGAATGGGAAAAAGGGAAAAGGTTATAAATGCAGGGAAGGAAAGGGAAAGTGGTGGGAGTAGAAATAGGAGAGGGGAAAGCAAGGGGTGGAGGGGGTCGGGAGGGAAAAGGGTGATCCATGGGAAGACCTAATTAAATTGAGATGTCTGGAATATAAAGGTGGCAAGGGAAACAAGGAGTTAATAGCAAGCGAAGGTAAGGGAAAGCAGAAGGTGGTGCA